CCTCCAAGGGAAGAGGGCGGTCACTCCTTTTCAGCCCTTTTCCCAGTCTCCAACCAACGGCTGAGAAATCCAAGAGAAACCCTAGTTCGAATGCGCAGAAAACAGAATTCTAGCAAGTCTGATTTGTTTAATGTGGCTCTGATACCATGTTGAACCTGCCCTAGAAGTCTGTTTTGTTTGTTAGCTGAAAAGTAAAGCAAACAGCATTCTCAACAGGTACAAAGACCGAAATACCCCTTCACTAACAATAACCAAATGATTATTTAGCCAATGATGGATATGTCTGCATAAGCGTATGGTTTTTATTGAGAATAAGATGATTTCATAGAAAATTATGTCCGATATTTAACTAGCAGCTTTGAACATGTGAATGGGTGGCATGATAATTTTTTTGATCAGTTATGAGCAGTATGATAATTCTCTTTGTCAAATGGTAAGCATATATTCAACACATGAATATGGAGCAATGTACAAAACAGTTGAAGTTCATAAGAATAGAGTTCCCTTGTTATAACCATAACTTCAGTTACTGATGATTATGTATTTATGTGTTAGATCATAAACTTTGCATCACCTACTTGATGTTGTTCCAATGATTGGTAGAATGCCCACATGTCTGACACTATTCTGTGACAATGTTTGAAACTTGAAAGATTAGGATATGGAAGATGGCCCAGCATACCATGGAGTCAAGTTTTTGGTGATGGAATCTAATATTGCTGATTCCTTGGCTAAAATGGGCTGGGGTTGAAGGGATTCTATAGTGGTTGTTTTATTGCAATTGCCCTTGAACTTTTTTTTTTCTTTAGGACCTTTTTGTTCAATGCTATACAAGACATGGCATGTTTCCTTAACAAAAAAAAATGATAGATATGCATCAATTTCCTCATACTATCAGATGAAAATAATGTTTAGTCCAATTAAGAAGAACACGATGTATGGCCTTCTAGTCAGCTTTGAAGTTTTGATTTTGTTTCAATGGTGGAAATATTGATATGCTGTAGCTTGATTTGCCTTTGTGATCTAGAATGCCATCATACGGAAACATCTAGATTCAGTTGATAAATGGGCCCAGAAACAAGACTCTTTTATGATTATTCATTATTCCCTAACTAGTGTTAAAAAACTCGTGCAGGATTCTTGGGCCTGATGATGTTTCTATGACCATAACTCATTGTGGAGTTTGTTATGCTGATGTTATATGGACAAGAAATAAACATGGAGACTCGAAGTACCCTTTGGTGCCTGGGTATGTGTCATTTCTTACACAGTTATTGGTGTAAGTCTGCTCTTTGCTTTCATTAGAATTGATGATTACATACTGTTTTATGTACCAGGCATGAGATTGTTGGAATTGTAAGAGAAGTTGGTTCAAATGTTCACCGTTTCAAAATTGGTGACCATGTTGGAGTGGGGACATATGTCAACTCATGCAGAGATTGTGAGTATTGCAATGATGGGATAGAAGTTAATTGCTCAAGGGGTTCAACCTTTACATTTAATGCTGTTGATGCGGATGGGACAATCACAAAAGGAGGGTATTCAAGTTATATTGTAGTTCATGAAAGGTGAGTCGGTTATTCTGTTAAGCTAGTTTTTCTGTATTCTTTTTTATTTCTTTTTTTACTGTATTTAAATTTCGTAGCTACAGTAGTTACCTTTCCTTAAAATGTTTCCATAGTTACTGTAGAAGTTCAAGACTGCTATCAGCCTTGAACCCTGTGAATAAACCCAAGTTCATTCTAGGTTAAAGCAGAGAAGAAGGAAGAAGAAAGAAAAGAGAAAGAAGGAGAAGAATGTTCGGCCAGACTAGAAGAGAGAAAAGTGAAAGTCACTCTCTCCTAGCCGACCCACTTAGACTTTTATTCATAAAACTTAAGTTACAAGAAAGACAATGTTGTCCCTCATAGAAGATGGGACACAACTTAAACTCAGATACAATAG